CTTATTCTTTTAATTTGACGTTAATTATCCAAAATTTTAGAGTTTATCATCCCAGCAGCGATGATGCCCATCCCATGAAAAGTAATCCATCCAGCACTCATTAAATATTGCTATGGTTGTTAGCCATAACAGAGTGTTTGAAAATTATTATTTCTGATGAACTTATGCAAAATCTTAGTTTGAATAATTCATTTGTCAACCATTTTGATCTAAACTTGTAGTCTAGTTCTATTTCTAATCCAAAAAGCAAGGTGGCACATAAGAATGCGATCGAATATCTTTTGTTATAGTTTGACCAATAGAAAATTGTTTTAATTCATCTGATGTAATTTGTTTTATAAAGACGCAAAGCAGTGGGCCCAAAATTTCTTCATGATGCTCAAAATCGTATTTAAATGGGTAATTCTCTATGTTGAATTTAAGATTTAAAATTTCTGCCTTTATCAACATAACCGCGGTTTTAATGTAAACTTCTTTGTTTGCACCTTTCTTTTCCGTCTTTGTTTGTTCGTTTTTTCAATAATAAATGTAGCTGCATCTTTAAAGCATACTAAATTGGGTTTTCTTTCAGTTTGACTAATATTTATGTTACCTTAGTATTTTTCTTCAAATTTTCTTTTTAGGTGCTTCATTGAATAAATCTCTTCATAATTTGCTAGCTCTTCCATTTTATTGTGCAATTTAGAAGATGTCACAGGAACCATTTGACTCTCAAACCACCCATTTTCAAAGTTCTCCGCCATTGTTGAATTTTCTTTGCAACCAGGCTTTTCTGACTCACTCGAGTTTGACCTGAAAATAGATTAAGGTTTTCTTGAGAAGAATATGAAACATAAAAATACACATTACATAAAGTTTAGTCAGAATTGGTCATACATTAAATTTTCTGTATTTGGTTATTGCTTATTAACAACAGTACAAAATATTAAGACATAATTATTACAAGAGGAAAGAAATCAATTCCAATATATTTGATTTAAAACATACTCCCTGTCAGGTGAAAATAGCTTGTAACATTTAAAGTGGTATATAGAACCACTCGCAAACAGGTCAACACAGCAATTTAAACGAGGTTTTACATCAAGTGCCCATTTTTCTTTTCTTCCTTTACAAACTTTTTCCATATTTTGATGGTTAGGATTGGGTAATGCTAAGTTGCCGCAAATGAAGCAGCATTGCTTCAATTTGAATGTGTCGCTTTAAATTATAAATAAATTTTGTCTAACTTGACCATTGTTTCGTTTATTAAAAGCAGTTAAAAGAATATAAAAGAACAGAATAACTGTTTTTCAGCAAAAAAAATCATTCTCCTACACACATAAATATAACTGAGTGTATGACACAAGCGCCAGATTAAGGGGAAAAACTTCTCAGAAAAAAATTTTTTTTTCAATTTTTTTTTTCCAGATATTTTAAAAGTAAATTTATTAAGAAATCAAATGGTAAAAACCTTTTTCGAAAATCGCTATTTTTTATATCAATAAATGACACTTTTGTACAACCACCTGAGTTCAAAATTATCTAGCAACGCCCCTAGTTACAGAAAAACTGTGAATAAAACACATCTAGTATAGCTTTTTATCCGGTTTTTTTTTTTGCAGTTTAGTTTGAAATGCTTCCCATTATCTCTAAAGCCATACTTTAAAACCACATATTTGACTGATAGTGCTAAAATTAGTCATCTTTCCAAGCTTCTACACAATCAACTCAAGCTTTCTACATAATTAAAAAAAATGGACAAGTCTAAAACTGAATATAAAAGTGATAGAGTAAAATTTTCTACAAAACGTCTTCGAAAACGTAAATGTACATTTTCTGGTTTAAGAAAGCAAGAAAAATATGTAAATATTGGTGTAAATAATGTTAATAGTAATAATGAAAATATGGTAGACTCTGTAAATATTGAAAGTGAAAGTGTATTTAAAAGTGCATCAAAAAAAAAAGTAAAGCAAGTAATGGTTCCAAGTGGAAACTCAAAATGTGTCAGTGGCTACAGGTTTATTGATTTAGAAATTCTTGCTTCCATTTTTGATAAACTTGGGTGTCCAGAATGTTTGCGACCATCACAGTTGTCGTTAAGCGAAAATAAAAAGTCTTGCAAAGGATATGCATCAAATTTATCATTAAATTGTGTTTGTGGTTTCAAGTTAGACTTTGACACATCAAAAAATGTAGCAGGGTTTGATATTAACAAAAGATTAGTGTATGCCATGAGAACACTTGGTCAAGGCCAAGCTGGTCTATATCGGTTTGCCACTCTTATGAATATCCCAAAAGGATTATGCAATAAAAGCTATAATGTTATTGTTCAAAAATTGGCAACTGCAGCACAAACTGTTGCTGTTGAAACTATGAATGAAGCTGTACAAGAACTCAGAGAAGGCAAATCTCTTAATGAGATCTTAGATATTGGAGTTTCTGTTGATGGAACATGGAAAAAAAGAGGATTTAATTCACACAATGGGGTGACGGCAGCATTATCAATTAAAAATGGGAAGGTTTTAGATGTTGAAGCATTATCTAGAAAGTGTAAAATATGTGACAAAAATCAAGATGTTGGTAATTCAAAGCAGCAGCTAACAGCAAAAAAATCACATATTTGCAATAAAAACTATGAAGGATTAGCCGGTGGAATGGAAACAGTTGGGGCAATAAAGATATTTAATCGCTCTTTGCAAAAATTTAATTTACGATACACAGAATACTTGGGTGATGGTGATAGCAAAAGCTACACTTCTGTCAAAAACACATACAAGGGTATTGAGGTAATTAAACTAGATTGTATTGGACATTTTCAAAAGCGCATTGGATCTCGTTGTGGACAATTAAAAAAGCAAGTCAAGGGTTTAAATGGTAAAGGCGGTTTAACAAACGCTACAATTGATCGGTTGCAAAATTATTTTGGTATTTGCATTAGGCAAAATTGTGGCAACCTTGAAGGTATGAGATCTTCAGCTTTGGCTAGCTTATTTCATGTAGCATCTTCAAGCAAAAATAATTGGCATTACCCGCATTGTCCCACAGGAAAAGATAGTTGGTGTAAATACAATCGAGATAAAGCTAATGGAACCAAAGAGTATAAACCCGGACCAGGTCTTCCTATTGAAATAGTACACAAGTTAAAGCCCATTTATGTAGAACTAACATCAGATGCTTATTTAAATCGTTTGCTTCATGGAAGAACACAGAATCAAAATGAAAGTTTTAATGCAATGATATGGTCTAGAATACCTAAGTCAAAGTATGTTTCGCTTACGCAATTGAAATTTGGACTCTATGATGCTATTGGTGCCTTTAATATAGGATTAAAGTCTAGTATACTTATATTTGAAAGACTTAATATGATACCAGGGCAACATACCATTTCTGGATGCAATTACCTGAACCAGAAAAGAGTTATGATGTCAGAGTATAAAAATCAAGACACCATAAAAAAAAAAAAGGAAGATTTTAAGAAGCCGCAAGCTTAAAAAATTTGATAAAGTTGAACAGAAAGAAGGGAAATTGTATGGGGCTGGTGTTCATGATTAAAAAACACAATCAGTATGCTCTTTTTATATTATATTTTTTGTATCTTTGTTATTATATAATATTTTTCATCACAATTTCAACTTATTTGGCATTTTTCTCAGAACGCGTGTTTTTAATCTCCCGGCAGAAGTATCTTGAGAACTGCTTGACCGATTTTAATGAAATTTTCAGGGAGTATTTTTCTCATAAAGATGTATACAATGAGCAGACAACTTTTTAAAAATGTTTTTTAAACTAAAGAAATTAAAAAAAATATCTATCATTTTTGTGCTTAAAATTTTTGCCAAAATTAAACAGGCCTACTACCTGACAGAAAAGTTATTTTCAAAAACTGTCTGCTTATTGCATAGATCTATCTTTTAACTATAAGTTAGAAAAAAATCAGCTCAAAGTATCATTCTAATTGACTGCAATCTTTGCCAGGGTGAAGAGACTAATTTGACATTTTCCCTTAGTAACCGCGTTGCCATGGCAACAGAGTGGCATTTTTTATGATAGATCTTCTTAACATTTAGTATACTTTTATTTGGAACATGTAATAACTTTATTAATGCTTTACTTTAGAAAATAAGTTTTTGAAGGGTTTTCCCCCTTAAGTAAATAAGAAAATAAAATACAGTCTTTTAATTTTAGGGCTTTCCGTTTGATATTTTAACACTTTTCTTATTGGGTTTGTATAATCACGCATGCATGCCACATGTACTGTCACCGTTTTTCTTTCCTTCAGTTGTTCTTAAAGGATTTTATTGTTGCGTACATTTGAATAATGAATTAAGTAGATATGTGACAAAATAATTTTTTTTTGTATCGAAAATTGTTATAACTATGCAAATTCTTGTTGAAATTTCTATAATTTGGTATCAAAAGAAAGATGTAAGAGTGGGCTACAATTTTATAGTAGCATCTAGCCATAGGGCGTGAATGGATGGCTAGTGGGGGCCCCGAACTACGACTTTTACCACCAAAAATTTGAATATTCTATTATAAAAAAGTATTTTAATACTGAAAATTGTCTTTTTTATCAAACAGAAGTTCCAATATTTTGATTCCAGCTCACCACCATATATGAGATGTGTACCTTTGAGTTAGGGGTGGATGTGGTGGTGCTTGTTTAACACGTACTATTAACAAAAATAATTCCTTTTTTAAAAATAATATTATCTCCAATTAAATAAGTAATCTAGAACAAAAAATAAAATTTAAGTTTCACTAACCACTAATTGTACTTTACAACTAGTGGTTAGTGGTGTATAACTCGAGTCAGGGTGAGGGGCGTACACCCGCGCAGTACCGCCCCTCCCCCAATCTCCTTCTAACAAAAAAATATATATACTTTTACTTGGCGCCCGCTTTCGCCTAACCGCCGCCCCCCCCCCCCTCTTTTTTTTTTGTCAATTTTTGTCATTTAAAAAAAGAAAAATTTGTTTACATTTTCAAACGTCAAAAATTAGTATAAACAGACATTTTACCACTTGACAAAAAGCAAATGTTTTTCCAGTTTCACATAGGATAGAGAAAGTGCCCCTCCAATCTAAAAATTTTTTTATAACTTTAAATTGAAAAATATTGTTAAAATTAAAAGAAATAAAAATAAACAAAAACACTTTAATTTTTAATACAAGATGAGTAAGAGTATTTAAATTTTTAGGCAAATTTTTTGATTCTTTAACCTAAAAAAAAATGTAAAATGTTTTAAAAAGGCTGTTTGATTCTTTAACCTAAAAAAAAATGTAAAATGTTTTAAAAAGGCTGTTTGATTCTTTAACCTAAAAAAAAATGTAAAATGTTTTAAAAAGGCTGTTTGATTCTTTAACCTAAAAAAAAATGTAAAATGTTTTAAAAAGGCTGTTTGATTCTTTAACCTAAAAAAAAATGTAAAATGTTTTAAAAAGGCTGTTTGATTCTTTAACCTAAAAAAAAATGTAAAATGTTTTAAAAAGGCTGTTTGATTCTTTAACCTAAAAAAAAATGTAAAATGTTTTAAAAAGGCTGTTTGATTCTTTAACCTAAAAAAAAATGTAAAATGTTTTAAAAAGGCTGTTTGATTCTTTAACCTAAAAAAAAATGTAAAATGTTTTAAAAAGGCTGTTTGATTCTTTAACCTAAAAAAAAATGTAAAATGTTTTAAAAAGGCTGTTTGATTCTTTAACCTAAAAAAAAATGTAAAATGTTTTAAAAAGGCTGTTTGATTCTTTAACCTAAAAAAAAATGTAAAATGTTTTAAAAATACAATACTTAAAATTATGTAATTTAGTGTAAACAAAATACCCATTGTAATTAATTAGTATCTTGGCTTTTAGTAAACAATTTGAAATTCTACTAATGAAACAAAATATTAATCATTTTTTAACGATAGACATCACAAGAAGGTAAGCCAAAGCCGCCTATGAATAATTTATGCAAGTCACAACACTTCTGTACCAATTTTATAAGTCACAACACTTGCGATACTTTTCAAATGTTAAGACTTTTCAAGTTCTAACATTTGCAGTATCTATTTTGGACTTACCTTTCAATTATGAAAACAATACATATTAACATTAAAAACATATAATACACATTAACATTAAAAAAAAAAATTTCTCCTGATACAACATTTGGGGCCAGCTGGAATTTTTTCATGCAATAATCACCAGCTTCAGAATCAGATTCATCTTTTTTCCAGTAAGAGATAGTGTAAATTTTGTCATGCATTTTTTTTTTTTTACTTTTTCTACTCTGCCATCGTATACTTAGATTGTTCAATATCATACCATTCATGATATAGTTTTCTACTAACAATTCTGTCAAACATAACATCATCTAAATCATTTAGTTGCTTTGTAGACAATTGTTTATACAAATTCTTAATCTAGCTGAAAGTCATTAACTTAAGTTTTTGTTATAATTTCCTTTTTTCTTGTTCATCCAATATTTGATGCTTGCATGTCTGTCTCTTATATAATACAGATCGAATTTGAGCATGTTGTAGGCGATTTCTCTTTCTTTCTTTACGTGCTGTGAAAATGGACGATTAATTACATTTTCTTTACTTAGTTAGTAATCTAAACTACCAAAATAATAAATAGTTCTATTCTTTTTTCATCTTATTGCAAGAATTATATAAAGTTGTTGTATTAGGGGATCTTCCTTTAGATTCACTAAACATACCAATTAACTCTTCACTATCTATATAGTGAAACCTTGCACTAGCTGTTTCCTGCTTGAGTGTCTCTGTAATGGAAAAGGAGAAGTACCTTTTACATTGTCTAATCAATACATCCTTTACTGCATTAAGACAAGCTGAAGTCATGTTGATAACCTGGTCATCAATGCAGCATTAATTTGTCATTGGTTCAAAAACGTTTGAGGGAAGCATTTCCCCAAAAAAATCTGTTGCTCTGCAAAACAGTGCAGCCGGATTAGATTTGCAAACATTGACTGTTTCCAAAATGTTTTTTACAATATTCAGATTATCTGAAAAACGGTGAGATGATCAAAATTTGCAGTCTCAGCTAATACATAAAACTTTGTCATCCACGGACCACTTAGCAGTTTCCCAAATACACCAAGCACACACATTTTTTTAAAAGTGGTAGCATTACAAAATGCTTCTCGCAGAGCTGCTTGCAAACTGCCACATTTGACTGTTCTAGAGATCAGAAAATTTAGAAAATTAGCATAGTGTTTAATAAATAAATGACAAGTATTAAAAAGAAAATATGAAGACGGTTTCCTCAATATCTAAGGATATACACCTAGGTAGTTTTTTGAGGTCTAAGAAAGTAACATATCCCTCTGGATCACTTTCACTGTCTTTAAACCTTATCTTATTTATAGCCAAATCAATTTTGACGGCTACATAATCATTGTCAAATAATTCACACTTTTCTGTCTCTAGACACTTCAATGCTAAGCGACATTCAGTAGCAATTGTATCAAGAGGGTGCAAATAAAAATTCAATTAATTCAGAGTTTTACCCCAAGTTGCACTAACTTTGCTTATGGTCAGATGGTTAACTGCAACTGTCTGATATTGTGATGGAAATATTTTCAATATTTAATTAACGACACTCATCATAATTACGTAAATGAAAATTCGAATGAATAAAAGATGTAATCATCAGCTGTTCCTCATGGGCATTGATCCAGAGCAATAACAAGGCATTTAACTTTGGACGTAAGGTGAGCACTGTTTATATGAAAACCTTCTTGTATTGTTGCATTAAATCCAAGAGTAAGCTGAAAATTATTGATAGCTCATTCTGCTGCTTGTAAATCTGATATACTTCCTAACTCATGAGCCATTTGCTCAACAGTACTGTGATGGGGTACGTTATTAATAATCACATTAAAATACTGCGTAATTTTCTCTAACAAAAATGGAATGTTACCTGTTGGCACATTTGACAACATGCTAAAATTTTTATCCTAATGTTTAAAGGATAACACTTTTCAGTTTCAGACATAACAGGAATTATAAAGACATTTTTTTTTAATTCTTTGCTTGAAACAGAAAAATAAAACTACAAAAATTATGCAAAAATTTTTAAATACAAATGTCACGATTAAAGACGTAAATACCTTACTAGATATAGTAATATTCAAAGATTTTCAAAATCTTTCTGAGATTGTTTTGTTTACAAAAATGAATTTTTTGTTTACAAAAATCAATTTGAGATTGATTGATAAGATTAACAATGATTGTTAAACAAATGTCTGACTTTTATCTAAAAGAATATTAAGAATATAAAAGAATATTATTAAGAATATAAAAGAATATAAAATTTTATCTAAAAGAATATGAAGAATATGAAAGAATATATTAAGAATATAAAAGAATATAAAAGAATATTATTTTATCTAAAAGAATATTAAAGAATAAACCATAATATAGTGTATTTATATTATATACATAAATTATGATTGAATAATAAAAATAAAACAATGAAATTATTAAAATAACGACAACAATAACAATGACAGTATTATTATTACTGTTATTGTTATATACATAGTATGTAGATTCCGACTTTCTCCCCCAACCACAACAACACCCATCGCGAATTTGTGAAAACAAAATTTAGGTACCAAAACTGCTACACTTTTTAAATTATCTGCTACATATTATTTTTTCTTGAAATTTTGCGGGTGAATAAATAAAGGATGTAAAAAAATGTCTCAGTAGTTTTGCAAAATGTCTCAGCATTCCATCAATACAAATTTCACGTGACAACATCAAGTAAATTTTTAATATCTATAAAGTCAACAAAAAGTAAATCATCCATACATAATTGATTCATAAAAATATAGATCTAAGTCTCTTCTTTTAAAAAAAAATCTATGTTGATATACTTTTCTAAAAAGAAACACCACAACAAAACGTTTGTCTGACGCTACCTCAAAAAAAATTCAAAAAACGTGGCGCAGAATTTTAGCACAAAATTCGATTCCGTAAAACAGCTATTTCCGCATACCTAAATTAAGGTATTGATACCTTTCTTTCCCACATTAATCACGTGATAGGAGGTTCACGTTCTTTGCAAAGCAAACAAGTTTCTTTAAATGTGTTCAACATTTTATATTTTATTTGAACTATATTTATTAAAATATTTAAACTTAAGAAATCACTTAAAAATAATAATTTACAACATCAACTTACGGCTCTACATTTTTGAAAAAAATATTTTTTGCACAAAATACATTATTTGAAAAAAAAAAATTTTGGCGCATTTTGCGCATGCTATGGTTTTAAAGTGCTGGTGTTAGCATTTTTCAAAGTTATTAATATTTTTTCATTTTTATAATTTCTACACATCAAACTAAGTTTGTCCAAAATTTTATAGGAATAGCATTATTTTTGAGCGAGTTATTACAACTTTTCGGCAGTACACTCTTCGAATTTTTGTTGATTTTCGTGAAAAATTTATACTAAGTGAGGTCAACAAAAATATTCATAACTTTTTTTACCCAAAATAGTTTTTGGTAAATTTTGGATATGTTAAAGTAGATAAAATTACGCTTCGAATGATACCAAACTTATCTTTATCCAAATTTTGTCCAGGTTAGCCTATTTTCAGACCTAATTTGACTAGACTAATAGTACAACAGAACTAGTCCTTTATAGAAAGTTTGTGGATTGTCTTAATGATCAATCATTATTTGTACCAAGAAAGAAACTACAATCCTCATTTGAAGAGGTATTTGATTGGAAATCAAAATGTTTTCTTTGAACTAAAAAAGTAAACTACAAACATTCATCGATTGCTAAAGTTGAGACCATACCATTGATTAAAAAAATGATTATTTGAATAGAGAGAACTATTGGGGAAATGCTGTACATTCTAGTTTGATGTCTTGTTATGATATTGTAGAGTAAGAAACCATCTATCATATTTCGTGTTTGAACAACTTCAGGTTTAAAACTAAAAGCGATAATCAACGCGGACGCCCATTAGATCTCACTATGTTTGAAAATTAGGAAAAACTCTGATTGGAGGAAGGGACTGACTGCGAACTTTATACCCTTTCCGATTTGCACATTAAGATGAAAGAACTTAGTAATGTTTACCCGTATTACTCAACAAAATCTTTAAAACGAAAATTATTTAAACATTATGTTGATCATTTTTTTTTGGAGAACTCTCTGGTCAATCTAATTTAGTTTGTATGAATGTATCATTGGAAAGATGAATTAAATTTTTTTTAACATGAATGCAAGAAAAAACTCTGGAGTATAAAAGATTTTAGAGAAATTTGATCTTGATTAATGGATTTTAGAGAAAAATTTGATCATGCATGGTCAGGATGTGACTGAGAAAATGAAAACCTAGTTTTTTAAAGTTACTTCAAAAATAGAATAGTATACAATAAGTATCTGAAACATATTTCGAATTGCTGGGCAACCAAAAAAGAAGTTGGAGAATCTACAGTAAAGGTTTTTATTGAACTTTTTTGTGGAAATACAGAATCTTCGTTAAAGATAATGCGGTTGGCATCTGAACGTTTAATTTTAATTTTTTGTCATTCATTAAGTCATTCATTTAGATTGAGAAAATTTAAACTTAGATTAAGAAAATATTTTTATTAATTAGTTTATTTCTTAGATATTTGAAATATAAACATAGTTTGTCAAGGAATTATTAAGCCAGAAAAGTTACCACCCACAGATCGTGTTGCTTATTTTTGATGGTCCTAATCTTATAAGCTTATTTTTAATGGTCCTAGAAATGATGGTCCTAGAGTTCAACTCCAGATTATTGAATGGAAAATGAATCTTTTAACTTGGATCTAAAAGAATGGGGATGGAAATTAAATAATGGTTGTCTTCTTCCAATACCAACAGACAAAGATGTGACACCACCCAATATCTTAAAAGTGATTTGCTGTGATTGCAAAACTTTGTCAAGAAATATGTTCGGAACTAATATGTGTTCTTGCAGGAAAAACGGATTAAATGTATGTCTGCATGCGGTAGCTGTTACGGGCAAGACTGCAGTAATAAAACAGTAAATTTTATTTTTTCAATATGCACATAATCTTCTGTTACGCTGTTACGGGCAAGACTGCAGTAATAAAACAGTAAATTTTATTTTTTCTATATGCACATAATCTTCTTAAAATATATTAGTTGTTTTTGTGATACGATTGTTTTACATTTTAAGGATTTTGATATTGAAGAAAATTTATATGATGAAATTGAAAACGAGAGAAATTTATTTGATAATTTGTTTTGAAAAAAGTAAAATATCGGACATCGACATTTTAAAGAAATTTACATTAGAGTCTCAAATTTATTTTAAAAGAATGTATTTCTTTTCACATTTTTTTTCCATTTAAATTTACGCACAGACAAAAGTTATTGTTTTAAAAACAAAAAAATATAGTATTTGAAATGCTTTTACACATTTCAAACGTAAATAACTTAAAAAATAATTGTTTTCAAGTCATAGTTTTTATATAAATAATTTTTAAATAAGTTTTTACATAGAATTTTCTATCCAACGACATATAGTTTATGATATTTTGGTGCTGTAAAAATTGAACCTTTTTTTTTTTTTTTACCCCAAATTGCTCCAAAAGGGATGTTCCCGTAGCACAATCAACGGGGCCTTTTTTTACGTTCATCCAAAGACTGTCTACTTTCTCTCTGCAAAATTTCAGCTTTATACCATTTTTGTCCGGGTTCGACCCTATTTTTCGCTAATTCTCTCCTACTAGTGTTGATATGGCTATTATACACTTTCCCTTTTTACGTCCACGTCTTAAAATCTTACGAGGTGAATGCAAAATATATATTATACTATTATATAATAACATAATTTAAAGAAAACCTAAACTAAGAATATTTAGTTTAAATTAACTTTGGATAACCTCGTACAATCTCAGGAGAAAATACAGTTAAGTTTTCTTTTACTGCTTCATGTTGCACATTCAAACCTGAGATATCTGAAGGAGTAGCAGTTGTAATCAATTTCTCACATCACCCTTAACTGTATGGTTTTTGAGGCACATCTCTATCTGTTACAATTGATGGTAAAAAAATATAATCCCAATATACATGACTATCATAAGACCAAATTCCTGTCACGCAAAATCCTGACATAATGTTTGTTGGTGTGGAAGATTTTTCCCTAGCTTGTCGAATAATACTGGCCATCTCATAAATTGTAACGGGTTATTCTGGATTGCTGAGCATCCAGCTATTAGCAGCTGCATTAAAATATGTTTTCATTGGACCAAAAACAGACCGATACATATGGTGCTTCTCTCATTAGTGGGTTTCTAAATAATTTTCTTGGAAAAACAATAACAGGGGGTATCGCTACAACAGCTGCAGATACAATGCAGCACACTGTTACTAATTCACCTCTTTCTCTAGATGTTATTTGTCCGACTTGCTTGTTCCCTTTGATTAAATGACACGAGTTTTCTGTAGTAAAACTTGTCTTAGCAACATCATTTAAAATTTTTAATCAAGATTAAAAATTTTTAATGATGTTGCTTTAGATTCTGATATACCTTCCTTTAATTTGTTAAATTAAATATCAATAGAATACCAATTAAATTCTGATGCTCTCCCAATTGAAGTTGCCTCTAGTTTTTTAACAGATAGCTTTGGGTTTCTTTTTAAAAATCCTGTTAACCAATCTTGACCAGCCTTTTTTTGCTCTATCTAACGCATGGGACATTTTATTTTGTTTGCTTGAGCCATTTCAAAAGCTAGAGCTCTTACTTGAACTGATTTAAGGCCATGTAACATATCAGAACATGTCTTTAGATAAGTGCTCAGTGTTTGTACTTGTGCAACAGAGAAAATCATAGAATGTTGATAATTTGGTTGAAGATTAGCAGCTGGGTATTGACACTTTTTTTTAATACACCTATGAAGTGCAGACTTAGAAATGCCAGCTGAATATGCTGCTTCTTTAAGGCTCATTCCATTTTCCACTTCAGCTACAGCAACTTTCAAAATATTTTCTGAAACATGGGGAGTTTCACTTTTTCTTATATAAACTCTAGGCATGACCTGAAATTTAAAAGAAATTTGGTTTGAAAAAATATATATTTATTTGTAATGGAATTAAGATTACTATTAATATTATATCTCAGACTTTTATGAAATTATGATTTTATTTAAGATTAAAACAGCTTTTATGCATGCTTTTTGCTTTCCAAATGCTTTTAAATTGTTGATGTAAAAAGACCTCTCAATTTGCTACAAACAATAGTGATAAATTAAATCAAATTTATCTTTAATAAAGATATCTCTTTACAAATTTAGTTTTAAATCAACTGTATAAGAACTAAAACTAAAATTAAATATTTCAATTAAACGTATCAATACTTTTATTTTGAAAACTATAAAAAACCGTAGCTAAAATGTTCTAGAAATTTCCGCAATAAAATAACGCAAAAGAAGTGGAACAGCGACTTTTTCTCTGTCCCGCTTCACCCCTATGTAGAAGAGACAAAATAAAACTAAAATTACAGCCACACAGTTAAAGCTAAAATATAAATTTAATTACTAAATGTTAGATGATAAGTGCATTTGCCTATAAAATAGAAAAAAGGTGCAACAACAGTCAAAAATAAATACATACATGAGTTACTAGGCTGTCAGCAAAAGTACTTTTTGGGGGTACTTTCAAAAAAAGGGGTTTTCACCACGCGCAGGGAGAGGAAATAATGTCTAATAAAAAGAGCACATGAAATCTATACGTTTACATTAAATAACAGTAATTAGGCGCTGCTTCGAAAAAAATAATAGGGGTGTCCCACTTCTCCCGCGTCCCACTTCTCCCGCGTCCCTTTCAAAAAAAGGGGTTTTCACCACGCGCAGGGAGAGGAAATGATGTCTAATAAAAAGAGCACATGAAATCTATACGTTTACATTAAATAACAGTAATTAGGCGCTGCTTCGAAAAAAATAATAGGGGTGTCCCACTTCTCCCGCGTCCCACTTCTCCCCACTCTCCCTACGTTTCGTTAATGTCAACGGTAATAAGTTTTAAAAGATAAAAAATAAACTTACATGACTTGAATAATGCCACTGATTGTTCTTTAACGTAAATGGATTAAAAAATAATAAGTTGAAACCAAAAGAGACGGATAAAAATGATGCAATGGAAACAGCTAATAATGTTGTTGCTGTTTTTTCTTTTTCACGAGGTAGGAGACTGTCACTTTCCAACTGTCTATCCATATTCAAGTATTGATTACAACTTCCTATATAAAATTTTATAAAAAAATTAAATTCGTGGTAAAACCATAATTTGTTTATATAAATAATATAAAATAATTTTTTTTTTTGTTCAAGATTGATAATTTAGATAAACTTATTGCCAGCTTTTATTTCTTAAAGGTTTTTTGTTTTGTTTGGCTCTCCGATAGGGTTTCCTATTTTTTTTAACTTTAAATGATAAAAATTATATGAAAATAGTATATTTTATAAATATAAAAAATACCAGAATTTTTTTTTTTTTAACTGAATTGGTACAAAACTGATAATGTACAAACATTTAAAAAAAAGTTTAACATAACAGCCTAAACTTACCTAAAACTCTCCATAAAAAATAAAAACAAAGGTGTATAGTTTTGTATTTGTTATAATTGAAATTAAAAGATAAAATACATTTTTATTTGGAATATTTATTGGATCTTTGTCTTTTTTTGTATTCTCCTTAGTAAATATGTAATTTTTTTTTTACAAGTTATCATAAAAGTTATTATTAGCAATACGAGATCTATGTTTGATTTCTCACTTTATGTGATTTTTACTTGTAGAATAATATTGCTATAACAAATCATTAACATTTTAGTAAGTCTGCAGTTAAGCGGTTTAAAATTCTTTTTTTATTTTTAAAAAATGCGAAGAAGAATCTAAAAACGCTTAATAATAAACTAATAATAAAGAATGATAATAATTTTATATTTATAATGATGATTTACATATTTATATTAACAATCGTTATAATTGTTTATGAAAAAAGTTTTATAGTAATAAATAAAGGATATTAATAATAAATATTTTAAGATACTTTTAAATTAATTCATTAGGCCTGTTAACTGCAAGTTTACCAAAAATTGTTTTACAATTTTTAATTGAAAAAGAATGTTTGATTAGAATAAGAGAAATAACATATATAGAATACTAAAAAGATGACAAATAAAAACAGAATTTTAACATCCAAATCTTTTATTTTTTATTTTTTACCAATGTTACTTGCTGTAGTATTTTCTATACTATCTTTAGAAAGCTTACACTATTATTTATGTAGGCAATTAAGCAATACCTTTGCATAATATTTTTTTAGGATTATCAAATGTTTGAAAAACATTTTCTTACCAAAAAACATTTTTTTTAAAATATTATGGAGCAAACTTTGACCAAAATCTTTTTAGATATACATATTTCTAAAAGATAAAAAAAATGTCTGCCACTGGTTATTTAACTATATTTTGCTCCAAAGGATCACTGTGTAAATTGGAAGTAAGGACAAATGTATAGCCTCTTTCAAGCAAATCTTTTATAACCGATTGTAGTGTTGTAATTAGAGTATGAGATTGCAGTTACTTTTAGTTGTAATTAGAGCATGAGAAGTTTGTTTGAATAATGTAAAATATTTACATTTTGATCAAATTTCAACTTGTTTATTGTTTCAAGGCTGGTATTCTGGTTTCCAAATGACTTGATAACTTATATTTCTTGTTTTTATTTTTTTTCATTTCCCGTTTTATATATATATATATATATATATATATATATATATATATATATATATATATATATATATATATATATATATATATATATATATATATATATATATAGATAGATATATATATATACATAAATATACATACATATATATATATATATATATATATATATATATATATATATATATATATATATATATATATATATATATATAAACTTTATGAAATATATTCCCTGCAATCTAACCAGCAGTAACATCAACTTAGTCTCTAAAAAAATCAAAAGAAGAAAAAAGAAACATTTCTTTGCATTAAAAAACAGAGTATAACAAATGATAAGTATGACTTAAATAATACTTTTACCAACTGGATGATAAATATTAAGTTTTCCATCTCCAGTATATGCTTTATGAAACTATGCAAATGCATTAATATTGATAGAATGGTTATCAGTAACAACAGCTCCTATTTTAAATTCAGATTGGTGCATTAATAATACACTATTAGTAATATACTCATCAATTTCTTTTTTCAAACATAAACCTCTTATACAAACGTCAGATAAGGACTTCAGAACAATTAAATTCTGAAATCCTATAATCATAAAAACAAAAGCAACTTCTTTATAAAGATTACTTTCGCAAACTTTACCAAACTATTTACTACTTTGATATTGGGCTGCTTTTTGAAAATACGCCTTGCCCACGTGAAGCAGGCAATCACTTAATACAAAATTTTTTTTTCAATGATTTTTCTAACATACTATAGTTTGTTAATTTAAAATGTTCACCACTGCGAAATCATTTAGATAAAGAAATATAATTTTTGTATTAGCCTTTATAAAACAATGAAAAAATAAGAATTATATTAACAACTATTGACTCAAAAACAGTTGGTATGCCAGGTATTTGCTGGCTTACTGTAATTAATTGGCCTTATTTGTTGCATTTTAATTACTGCATGTTTGAAACATACAGCATAATAAACTATTACATTGCAAAACATTGCCATGCAGTGTAAATATTCCTAAGAAAAATTCACGTTTATTTCCTTATAATTACAACTATAATAAATACATAATTTCAAACCTTTAAAATTATTCATAATGGAGAGTTGTGGGTAGTTTTAGCAACATAAAAGATTATTTTTAGTAGCATGTTTATATACGTTGATATAGTTGTCTGAAAGCTTATTTCAGTGCTCTGTGTTGAAATAAGCTAAAGCAGGCAATCATTTAAAAAAATCCAGCAAAACATAAAGTAATTTCTCAAAAAAAATCTACCTTATATTTAACCAATTTAAAAAAATATGAATAAAACACTCAGAGAGCAAGCACGACTCTAAAGCATAATAAGTACTCAAGCTTTTCTATAGGAGCCGTAATAAGTACTCAAGCATTTCTATAGAAGCCGTAAAAAAACTGGCCTCATAATTTTTTACGGAAAATGCAACAAATCAGACCGTGTAATTTAATTAAGCCATGTAATGATGAATTGAGATGAGAAATGATTTAAGGTGTTTGAAATAATAAAGTGTATATACCGCGTAAATAAATTTTGTATGCAACAAGCATTTGTATAATGCACAAAAACTTTAATTTATAATTGTTTGTTGTTTAGCAAATCATGAAAATTTAGCTGATCATGAAAAACTAGCTGATCGTGCGCTTTAAAGCGCACGATCAGCGCGTTTTAAGGTGATACAAACAAAATATTTTAATTTTATTTGTATCACCTTAAAACATTCTCAAACTGTTTTAAGGTGGTCCTATACTAGAAAACTCTAAAAGTTTAAAATACATTCTAATTTTTTGATTTTTTAGAAATGATTTAGCATTTTATATTTAAAACACAGTAAAAATTAAAAAAGTGAAAAAAAAAAATTAGGGTCAAATTTTTGTGTCCATGGACCCAAAATATGGACTACACGCTGCAATAAATAGTTAGTGAACTAAGAATGGTATGATCATGAAATTTCACAAATTTTTAACAACATATAATTGCAACATCTAACTTTCCTCTTAGGTCTTTTTTTTCCCATAACAAGTAATAAGTATTTAGATCAAATCAAGTTAAACACGAGGCTTTTCTATAAGTAATAATTGTAAACATGCAAATTGTTTTTGCAAGTCATTACTTTCTTAAGTTAAGCAAACAGGAAACAGTTACTGGCTCTAATGTTTCTAATAGTGTCATAAATCTAGTGTATAATGGCAAAAAACTCTAAAATAGCTTTTTTTTAATATAAAAAATTCGTTGCTAAGGGTGTTGCTTAGGAAAAACTATGACTTAGTTACAAAACTTATTTTAGAGTATTTGAAATATAATTTATTATAATGATTTGTATATATTCGGAATGTAGAATGTTTGAAATTTCAGAATTTGTAACTTTTAAAAAAATGATTTTTTCAATTTTTTTTCTAGTATAGGACCACCTTAAATATTTTATAAATAATGGGGCAATACCGACACCTGTTGGCATTGCCTCGTGCTGGTGTGTTGGCGTTAACCCGGTGGAACAACGTGACGGAAACCTAACACTACAAACTACTGCTAGCTCCAAATCCTAAAACGGCAATGCTAAAATGTTTGTTTTAATATGTACTTTCTAGCTAACTAAATGGTTTTTTAGTAATAATAACAATTAGAATCTTACCTCAGTTCATCCAGGAGTTAGTTTTATCATGAAAAACTTCAAAAACTAGTTATTTATTTATAGCAAAACAAGCAGTAGGCATACTCGCATAAAACTCACTGAGCGTTAGTTTTAGTGTTGTCCGCCAGGTAGCAGCACTATATAACAGCGCTTTACTTACAGAATACAATTACAAAGCAGGGTGTCGGATTTGCCCTGAGTATCGGCATTTCCCCGGTCTACCCTACATTGAGCTACAAAAAGCTTCCAATAAAAAATCTGATTGTAAACAAAAAGGAACAAAGTGAAATGTTAGAAAAAAAAAATTATTAAACAAAAAAAAGTGATTCATATGACCTTGAAGTTTTGCTTATCCATCAAAAACAAGCACACATGCAAAACAGATTCTCTTTAATCTAAATGTGATCCTGGTTGCAACCTCTGAGTATTTATTAGCCTAGAGTTCTTACGTTGTTCTAAGGTTTGGAGGAAAAAAGATAACATATTTTTTTGTTAGCCAAATTGTAAATATAGAAAAATATAACAATTAGAATATTAAATACTTTAGACGAGATTTTGATGCTTCAAATTTTTATTGTTTTTAATTTATTGTTTATTACGTAACTTCTTTAAATATTAATCAAATTAAAAAATAATGTTTAAATTTTTAGACATCTAATTTTTGGATATCTTTTGGGCCCAGGCCACGGCCTAGTCTGGCGTGTTGGTAATTTTACTTATAGTTTGATTCGGTATTAGACTTTTAGTTAGGTTAATACCAAATAAAGTTATAAATAAAATTAAATTATATATATATATATATATATATATATATATATATATATATATATATATATATATATATATATATATATATATATATATATATATACATAACTATTTTATAAACATCAATAAATACGATTTTCTCTCAATACTAAATTTATCTTTTATTTTTTAAAGAAATTTTCGCTGGATTGTTTTTGTTTACGGCATGTTATTTTTAAACGGCAATTCTATTATACGTCAATATATATATATATATATATATATATATATATATATATATATATATATATATATATATATATATATATATATATTGCTATTATTATTATTATTATTATTATTATTTTTATCATTGTTATTATTATTATTGTTATTATTATTATCTTACAACGTCTAACAAACTTTTTGCGCCCACTGGTATATATATAAATATAAAGACGTTTAATAAAAAACTGCATATATATAAAAATCATGCATAACTAAATAACTGAGTTAAATATGTATCATTTTAACAACTGCAACTTTTTCCAATCATATTTATCCAATCATATTTATCCAATCATATTTATCCAATCATATTTATCTAATCATATTTATCCAATCATATTTATCCAATCATATTTATAGAAAAAAGATCAAAAATGATCTTTTTTCTCATTCATGTAGTTTTGTTCATATTTAATACAAATATTTATTATATATAAAGTATATAATTATGGTTCTTTATAATTTATTTTTAATATTGTTTTACTTTTAAATTTCTATTTCTACCATATACTTGTATAATGTTTGTAATAAAGAAAACTTCATAATTGCTAAAAAGAAGTTTATTTATAAAGTTAAAAAGTTTTTAAGTAAAAAAATCTTGAAAAAATTTTTGCGGCAATAAAAAAATAAATTATTTATTAACTTACCAGAAACAGCAGATCAAAAATAAATAAAAATTATAGTTGACTCATTGTTGAAGAAAAAGTTGCTATATTTCTTGTTTGAATAATAATCAAAAATATTAAAATGCTTTAAAAAATTTTGAAACTTCATTTGAACAGTTAAAAGACTTTGAACGGTTATTTATGAGATCAAAATACTTGAATTCAATTACGTAAATTAAAAAAATTCAATTGGTTATTTAATAATAACTTATTTTAGGTTAAGGATTACCGCTCAAACAGAAAACAATGCATAATATATAGACACACATTAATATACTCAAAAAGTAATATGTTGCATATAATGTGTACCACAGGAACCAATCTTAAGACCACACATGTTGTTTTTTTTTACATCATTGTACTCAGTATAATCATTATAAGTAACGGGTTATAACTAAAAAATGGTAACTTTTAAAAATGATAAACTTTGAAGGGACATAACTCGCTTGGTTTATGAGATAAAGACTTTAATGAAGAAAGAAAAAAATTTTAGTTTAGGTGGGCAAATTATCTACATATTAATTTTTTTTAATCATATCATAGCGTTTTACATAGTCGAACCGGCGCCGAGTTGACTCAGAAAGGCGCAGTACAAGAGATTTTTCTATTTAAAAAAGGCAATACTTTATTGTGTTTTGCAATTTCTCAAAATTATCAGCTTTCCAATTATTCTCTTACACTTTTCCTAAGAGAATACTCCAAAAACCCACAATCAGACGACATTCAGGCATATTTACAGGGTTATCTCTTGACAAAAACGATCTCTTTTCTCATTCATGTAGTTTTGTTCAGATTTTGTGGAAAATCGATACAGGCGACCGCACTTCGTTCGAGCTGCCTCTATTTGGCCATTAGATCTTAATGGATTTTTTTTCTTCTTCTTTGGCTTGATTAGGAACTTTGTTTTTATATTTTTGCTGATATATACTTAGGTGCACTTAAACTTACGAGCTGCTTGTGTTTGCGATATGCCGTTTTTGTGGTCAAACATTGCTTTAAGTCCTTCGATGTTCCTTTTTATCATTACTTTAGCAATCATACCTATTCCAGAGACTCTCTGGTGTCCAGAATTATTTTTAGCGTGTCAAATAATGGTACAGATTGTTTAAGTTCCTTCAGCAAGAAGTGATCAACTGTAAATTATTTTCCTTTAGATCATTTTTTCAATTAGAAGCTGTACAAACGTTCTCGACAGGCTTTTTGTTTTTATTTCATTTTTCTCTGTAACAATAAAATTTTAATTTAAACTAAATTTTTTTTTGTAGAGAATAGAAAACTACATTACAATGTAGTGTAAAGAAGTCACTACACTACAATGTAGTGTAAAGAAGTAAAAATGTTAAGAAGTTTTTATTTGAAAAATGAAAAATTAAATTTATGAGTATGACTTATTTATAATGAGTATAACTTATTAATAATAAGTATAAATAATTAACAGTTATATTATAATAAAATTATATTGTAATTTATAAATTAAACTTCTTAAAATAATATTTTACGTTAAGGATTTACTTTAATAGTTATTAATTGTTAAGGCTTATAGTTAAGCTATTTAAGTAACTTTTATATTTGTAGACCATCCTCGCACTCGGAAATACGTCATAATCTTTGCCGCAAACATCTACCATTTTAGTTGGGGGAAAATAAACTTTCGTTATGAAACGAAAACAATGGCATAACATAAAAGTCTTTAAAATGCACAAGGGTCGTTGTGTCTTTAAGTGATTTTTGATATATAGATAAACGTTTAAATATAAATAATTTTTAAACTCTTTAAACCACTTTTTCGTAATAATTGTCCTGCTTTAGTAACTCAACTGATCATTTGTTTTCCCCCATCCAAGATGGTAACAACTTACGCTATTGTTATTTTGCATAACCACGTGACTTTCCGACTGCGAGGATAGTATAAGCTTAGCTTATATGTTATAACATTTAAGCTAAATTTATACTCTATTCTACAAATATAAAAGTTACCTAATAAAAATAAAGGTATAACATAAGGTATTAAAACCTAGTATCTGGCATGTTTTGAGATTATATTTTTTTCTTAAACTTTATTTATAATTAGTATATACTTTTAATTATTTAGAAGCATAAAAAAATGTCTTCAAAAATAAAATTTTTAGTATAGTACTGTTAAAGTAAAATTTTTAATAAAGTACTGTTTGAAAATATTTTAAAGTTTCAAAAAAAGAAAATTATTTTTGTATTTGCCTACTATGCAAAGCATTACTTTCTAGAGGTGGGAATTGTCCTAAAACATTCACCACTAGTGCAATTAGAGTCTAAGTGCAATTAGAGTCTAATTGCACTATTTAAATGACGTCTAATTTAGACGTCATTTAAAAAACAAGCACATTGCAGAATATAAAATAGCTGAAAAAGAGTCTGAAAAAAAAAAAAAAAATTGAAACATCTAGAGCCTCTACATCAAGTGATTCTGAATTAAAAAACAATTAACATTACTGGAGAGTCTTAACAAAAAAAGCTGTGGGATGTAAATGATCAAAGAGCTATCAAAATTCACAATCACATTGGAGAAATGATAGCGTTGGACATTCAACCATACTCGATTGTAGAAGATCTTGGTTTTAGAAAATTGAAAATTGAAGAACTGTGTCCTAATTATCAAATACCTAGTAGGAGATATTTTAGTGAAAACATTATTCCACAAATATATCGTAAACTATTTAGTTCTATCAAGAGTAATATATCTGCTGCCATTCATATCTCTCTTACAACTGACATTTGGACAGCAAATAGTTCAAATGTTGCCTTCATAAGCATGGCAGCACACTGACTCAGTAATGAATTTTCCCAGCACAGAGCAGTACTCAGAGTTATGCATTTTCCAGAAAGTCACCAGGAAAAATACATAAGTGAGTATTTACATAAAGGTTTAGTAAGTTTTGAAATTCCACACACTAAAATTCATATTGTTTTACAAGATAATGCGGCTAATATGGTAACTGGTGTAAGAGACAGTGGTTTTAGATCAATGCCATCCCAAGTAGCAAACAATATTGGCGTAATATTGGCACGATATTGGGTATCTTGGCTAATCTTGGCCAAGATATCCGATATTGCGCCAATATTACGCCAATATTGTCTTACCAATATTGGCAAACAATATTACGCCAATATTATTCATTATCGTTTTACTGATATTGTAATGCCAATATTGGCGAAATATTGTCCTATATTAAATTTTACATATTGGTACGCATACGTAACATTAAGGAATATTCATAATGTCCTTTAGTTTTGTTAAATGTGTTTAAATGTAAATAATAGCATCTTCTTACATAAACAGGCATCCTTATGTTATTAATTTTTTTACAAAAACAAATAAGAGTTCAAAATAAAAATTTTAATTTATGAAAAGAGAAGAAGTAGGAAAAGTATTTTTAATTCAACATTTACAGAGTGAATCAGGAGAAGAAGTGTTGGTAATTTATTTTAAAACAGATAGTATCACGAGAAGAAGTTGTAAGAGTAATAAAATTCTTTTATTCAACATTACGAATTGAATTACGAGAAGAAGTGGTTGTAATTAATTTAAAACATATTGCATCACGAGAAGAATAGGAAAAATATTGCTATACTTAAGTATCAAGATTAAAATAGTAAGTTTACTCTTAAATGAAAACACTTTGAGAAGATTTCATCTATAAAATATAAGTTTTATAGTCTATTTATTTTGTTAAAGATATTGGTTTAGAAAATAAATATGTCATTATTATTGTTTCTAACTGTTATAAGATTTTAATTTACGAAAAAGGTACCCCTGCTTGACACATAATAACATCAATAATATATATATATATATATATATATATATATATATATATATATATATATATATATATATATATATATATATATATATATATATATGTATATATATATATATATATATATATATATATATATATATATATATATATATATATATATATATATATATATATATATATATATATATATTATTGACCTACACACACTCACACACATGCACAAAAATTTATTACAAAATAATAATTTTGCAATAAAAAAGTTTTTTTTGTCTTTTATTTTATATAGCATTTTATTTAATGCAATAGTTTAATGCAATGTTATAGGTAATAAACAAATCAATAAGTTAAACTATATCTGCTACATCACGTTATGTTAAGAGTAGTTAAACAAGATTCAAGTAAAATTTACACAATAAGTAATGCTGAAAATAGTAAAAGTTATATAAATGCGACTTTGAAAATGCAATAAACTTTAGTGAGGATTGATGTTGGACATTAGCCTTTATTAGATATATTGAAATCTTTCAACACATTTCACAACTCCTACTTCTAAAATTAAAGCTTATAGAATAAATGACTTACTCTACAATTGGATTTTGATGTTACCTAAGAGATCGACATTAGAGTATTATTGTTGGTGGTACATACTCAGAATGGATAATAGTAAAAAGTGGGGTCCCCCATTATTAACTTTTATGATATATAGTAAAGATTTTTCTGATTTGGTTTTAGATGTTGTATCTGTATTTACAGATGATACTAAGTTATACAGTTTGCTTTTTGATAGCTCACTATGCAATAACCTGCAATAAAGTATGGACATTATAGCAAACTGGGAAAAACTATGAAAACTAAGTTTTAATGTAAAAAAATGTAAAGTTATACCCTTAGGACCAACAAATACAAAATTTTCCCTTAGGACCAACAAATACAAAATTCATTTATATACTCGTTTATAAAAATCTCAATACTTCAATTAATATTAAAAACTCTCTCGTCAATAAAAGGATCTTCATTGACAGTAATTTGACTTTTATTTTGTAAGTACTTAGAATAACACTGCTAATAAAGTTGTAGGAATGATCAAAAGATCATTTGTCAATCTCAATATTTTGACATTTCGTACTTTGTTTATTTTCCTTGTTCGTCCTCACCTTAATTCTTGCAGCTCTATCTACTATCCTAGACTTTAAAAAGATCAACAATTAATTTAAAATGTTCTATGCTAGTCTAGTAAATTTGTTTTTGGCCAGACTGGACTCACTTACAACCAAAGACTACTGAGACTAAATTTAACTAGCATGAGCTATCGTTTCTTATGTAATGACATGGCAGAAACTTACAAATGCATTCACAATCTTTACAATTGTAGTTGCAACCATTTTGTTTCCTCATAAAATACCATTCAGTATTTTATCTATCAACACCTGTGTCAGAATGATGTCATCTACACAGCCATTATTTTATTATTGTAATTACAGACCATTAAGTAGTTAATCTGAGTTGTAATAGCATGCGTGTTAATATGGCCACTTCTTAATATTAATATATGATTATATATTTAGTTAGTATTTATTCCTCCATTATGACTAACTCCAACTTAACAACATGTGATCATGCTTATAAATTGAAAAAAATGTTTTGTAAGACAGATGTCCGTAAAAAACTTTTCTAATATGGAATTCACAAATTTGTAGAATAGTCTACCATCTGAAATAGTGTTCAACATCTGTCACGACATTAAAAAAACATCTAGATGCATCTTGGGTTCATCAAATGTACAGTTGCAAAATGGTAAATATTTACTTAGAGCCTCAAGTTTTTTATCTTCCTTAACGTCATATTTAAATAAGAAAATATTATCATAGAAACCTTTCCAAACCGCGCAAACTTTAAAATTGACTTTTTTTTACTAACCAATAATTAAACTCTACTTGCAATAAAAAGCGATTACATTAAACATTAAGAAATGAATCTCAATAATTTTTTTATATTATATAAGTTTTTTTATAACATAAATTTATTTGTGATTATTTTTTAGCTGATGCACCGTTAAACTTAAGGTGGTAATAAAGTTTACAAAGTTTGCTCTGGCTGAATTTTTCAATGAAAAAACAATATGTGTGCTATGAATGTAATCTGCTTTTCATGGTGTATCAATGAAAGTTTGGTGTATTGGCCAAATCACTTGCAAGCATCTTGCCTTTAAACTGCCATACGTAAAGTCACGCTTTTAAAAGTAACTGAAAGCAGCTGAAAATAAGAATTTTTTGGTAATTGTCTTATTTACAATATTGTTTTTGTTTTATTTACAGTATTGTCTTTGTTTTTTATCTAAACAGCTATGTTTGACTCAAATATTGTAAATGTTGATTGTTTAGTGTGGTTTCATCTCTTCTTTATACTTTTTTTTGACAGTTATGAGACTGTTTTAGAACGGAATTATCTGTGCCTCCAGCTTAAAAGGATGCAAGTTACAAAAAAAGGGACAGTGAGAGACAGATTGTCTCTCAGTTTCTCAATGATTGAAGAAATCATTAGTGTTTTAGGGTTAAGTGATTCCATCAGAGCTTTGCTTGACTATCTCTTTCGATTTATTGAATTTATTTGCCGGTTATAGATGAAAAAAGATCTTTTAAACCTAAAAGAAGAATTATGGAACAAAGACACCTTATGAATCAATAGTATATATCAGTGAATTGATATTAGTTAATAGTTTTTGGAAACAGTACCATGTACTATTAAAGTTTCTAATTTTTAAAATATATGATACATTTATATGAAACATACAAACAAATGATACAATATGATACGTGATTGACTATAATTATGTTGTATATCAAAATGTTTTATATAAATGCTTATTACATTTTATTGTGATTTTTATCTTTTATGCCCATTTAGCAATGTATTTTGTGTAGCAATGACTACTAATCTCAGATATCTTTGACATCTGTAGGGTGTATTCACCGCTATAGATGTCATAATCTATTTATAACCAATTGCTTTTACTCTTCCATAATGTCATATTTTAATAAGAATCACATTATAGAAAACCACCTAATACATACACATGAGGAACCATTATACTTTTAGTACAACATATTATATTACATTTGTTTTCTTATTTTAGATGAACTTTCTTACTTTGGTTGGAGGAGATGAGAAACAACTTACAGCGGCAATCTTAATACAGCTAATGGCCAAAGAAGTATGTTTTTCATACTCAGTGTATGGAATGAAACAAAAACGTCCTGCAAGGTCGTTATAGGTAAAGCACAATATTTGTATTCTACATCCCATTTCCTTTTAATAAATTAATATTTTAATAAAAACTTATTACTTTACAATATTTATACGTGAAAAGTTATATATTTCAAAATTATATTGTGATGATATTTAAAAAACATTTTGTAGAGTTGCGTTTAGTCGTTTATTGTTAAATTCATTCATTTCGAAATCGCTACTGACAAAAGTATTAAATAAAAAATTGGCAGCTTTCTGGCGACGGCCATTAATAGAGATTATGGAACAAAAATAGAACAGTAACTGAGCAACGCCCAATATTGAGCAATGAAATAAGTATCGCCAATATAATAAAAGTCAATGCCCACTATCTCATGGTGAGAGTATAATACAGTAGTTTATATATATATATATATATATATATATATATATATATATATATATATATATATATATATATATATATATATATATATGTATATATATATATATATGTATATATATATGTATATATATATATATATTTATATATATATATATATATATATATATATATATATATATATATATATGTATATACATATTTTTTGTACGTGTAAATAACATTTTTTGTACATTTAAATAACATTGATTTTATTTTGTTATATTTTGGTTTTAGAAAACTCTATACCTCTTTTTTTCATTTGTATCTGTTTCATATAACTTCAAATAAATTTAATGATTTCGAATTTTTTTTTCTTAAAGCGTGTGCTATGATTATTGTCATCTCCTAGACTATAACCTGTTTGACTCAAAAGAATAATGAGGCCTAGTACTATAGTATCACTTAAACAAGAAAACTGTTAGTAATTTTAATTATTACAAATTTGTAGAAGGCAATATTTTTTATTGTTTTTTAATAATAAAAATTTAATCGAAAATACTCAATATATTGCCTTATTATTATATATATTATATCAGGATAATATTGTAAACTATATTAGGCCGATATTGGCCAGTATAATATCCCCATTATTGGCGCGATATTATTTACAATATTGGCGCAATATTATAAACTATATCGGGCCAATGTTGCATTGTTAACATTTTGCCAATATTGACTCTACAGTATTGGTGCAATATTGTATCGCCAATATTGACTTTACAATATTGGCGCAATATTGTAGCGCCAATATTGGCAAAATGTTCACATTACAACATTGACCCGATATAGTTTACAATATTGCGCCAATATTGTAAACAATATTGCCTCAATATTGTTTGCTACTCGATATGTTTTATACATACAATACAATTATGTATACATGACTCAATTCTGTCGCAAAAATCTGTTAAGGATATTTTAGCTTGTTACAGACGTCTCGCAACTCATTTTTATCATTCCCCAACAGCAGCAGCAAAATTAGAAGCAATTCAGGAACAACTCGGTACAAATAAGCACAGGTTAATCCAAAATATTACTACAAGATGGAACAGTTCTTATGATATGATTGAAAGGGTACTTGATCAAAAAGGTCCTTTGGCAACTTATACAGCTGATCATCCTACCCAATCAACACTAAATTCATTTCAATGGGGATTAAATAATAAATATATATATATATATAAATAGATAAAGTGTTGTTGTTGTCTAAAATATATATAAATAGATAAAGTAATATAAATAGATAAAGTGTTGCATATTTTAGAACCATTTAAAACTTTAACCATTAATTTCATTAAACGTGAATCATTTTTGCCAGATGTTATTCCTTCAATTATGGCTCTGAAAGAATTTTTTAATCAAGCATTAGTATGTGAAGCTTTTTTAACAATAAATACTTTAGTTGAACATTTAAGTGGGTCAGTAGACAAAAGATTGGGTCCATATTTACATGATAAATATTTATGTCTTTCCACTTTTTGTGACCCTAGATATAAATTGACATATCAAAAGGAAGACAAGGATAAAATAAAAAATTGGATAAATGAACAGATGCAAGAAATGCAACAAAGTAATTTAGAACTTGAATCCTCTGATTCTGATTTTGACGAACCTTCAGTACATAACACAAATGAAGTAATTGCAAAACCAGCTTATCCAAAATTCAATGAATGTTTTCAGAAAGTTTCTAAACTGATAACTATTGATAAATGTGATTCCAATTTTGTAAATACTGAAAATAGCAAAAGGTTAAAAAGATCAAATTCTAGTATACAAATGATAAACAAGGAGATTGAAGAGTATTTAAAGCTACCTCTTGTCACGGAAAAAGAAAGTCCTCTCTTGTGGTGGAAAAATTATGGAAACTCTTTTAAAAATTTAAAGAATATTACCCAAAAGTTTCTTTCAGTACCACCATCTTCTGTTGAAAGTAAAAGACTTTTTAGTACAGGTGGCATCATTTACGAACCCAATAAAAACAGACTATCACCAGAAAGTGGCAAAAAATTAATGTTTATTCATTATAACTTGAGGACGACAAATGATAATTGATTTTCACTCCTGTTTTAATGTTTTATTTTTTTAATAATTGATTATTTTTTTAGGTGAAAGTTTAAAATTGTTGATTTGTCTAGTATTAATACTATTGCATGTTTAGTTATATAATAATAACATAATAGTATATGTTATATAGTTATATAGTAATAACTACATAATGAATTGGAGCATTTTTATGTTTTTGATCACCACAATAACATTTTTCCCTAAGTTTATTCCTTTCAAATAATTTTCTCAGTTCAACTACTTGAGTAGCCAAATTACGAGCAACTTTCTTTATAAAGATTTTTTTTAAACACAGCAGCAATAGGTGCCTCTTAAAACGGACGTTTCTATCTGTTATTTTAAGTTTATTTTATATTATTACATTTTTGCGATTTTTCTAAAATAAAAAATTTGCTTCTTGTATGAATTTTATAACTTAAGTTAAGTTTAATAATTATTATTATTGTATATAAAAGGATAGAATGGCTCTACTGTGCGGACAAAAAAAGATTTTTTGTCCGCACAGTAGAGCCATTCACTATCTTTTTTTGTAATGTCAAAAACTTCATTCAATAAGATGTACTTTCTTTTTTTTACAAATATATTATATGTATTCAACGCTTGATCTAGTTATGTCTGTGGGAGTTGAGATTATAAATATGGATAATATATTTTCTTTTGCCACTAACGGCTAACTCTCATCTCTATTTGATTTATGCTTACTTGTCTTCTTTAATGGATTATCCCAGATAGCGACTAACATATTGGATTTGGAGTTATATCTGATGTTTATATCTGCTAGTTATATCTTCTAGCGATTGCTCTCTTGCAGAACAGCTCTTCTTTTCTTATGTGACTCTTAAAATCGCACAAGAATTTTCATTCAGATTGTCTCGTTTCTTTCAGTAGTGGTAAAATATTACTCATTAGACATTATGATTGAAGATAATTTTGAATATGTTTTGAAATGACCAGAAATTAAATGCAATATTTCTGCTCTTTTACTTCTATATTATTTGACTGCCATCTGGCGATTACAGATTCATATATAATTATTCGCCTTGCTCAACCAGGCATTATGTGCAATCTAAATCCTGCTAATATGCGTAAACTTCTAAAAGGCTTCAAAACAGTCTAGAAAATTCTAAAAAAATCTAAAAGGTTTAATTTTTGATTAACTCAATAAATGTTATAAATTTTAATAAAATTTATTATTTGGTTAAAAAGCCATAAAAATAAATACAGAAAAGTCTTTGTGAAGGGTATTTTTACAAAAATTAAACACTTTTTTCATATTTTAGACAAAGAATGTGACCGTAAAGTGCGTTGTTTTTTTCCAGTTTTTATCAAACTTTAAAAGTAAGGGGAGTTCATTTTTGTGGGAAATATTATAGGGAATCTGAATCTGAAAAAATAAATAAAATTTAAATATTTCTTGTTGGAGGGAACGCTTAGCTTTCTACAAAAAAATGCATAAAATATGAATAAAGTATGAATAAAGAGAAAAAGTTATAAATTAAAAAAAAAAAAAAACTTTTTTATTATTTGATAAACTTGATATAAACTGTGTTGAAGTTTATGAAAATATCATATTTTGTTAAAAAGTCAAAAAAATAAACACATAATGGAGGTAACTTTTAGGAAAATTATTCGATTTTTTCATATTTGAAAAAGTGAATATTATCAAAGGGTGTGCTTTCTTTTCTAAAACTAATAAGTCAAACACTTTTGTTATATTAATATTTTATTTGTTATATTTTGTTATATATAAATATACACATTATTTTATATAATGCATTTATAATAAATATTATTAATACTGATATCTTTATTTAACATTACATGTATTTAACAATTAATAGTTTATAAATTTTATTTAAACTTTGTGAGTTCAATTAAGTTATATTTTGCATTATTTGTGCTCATAAAACAACTACTGATTTTTTTGTGCTCTTATATATTCCACTCGCTTCTCATGGAAATATGTCTTTACACAAGGAATTCAATTGAAATAAAATATGCCCTCTATTGAAAATATGCAAATAAATTAACCACTGATTGTTTTGCGAGACAAAATACTGAATGATCTTTCGGCTGATCAGACTTACGAATGTATTTGTATTACGAATGTATATATATTTTTGAAAATTTAAAAACATTATAAAAACGATTAAACTTTATAAAAAATAAAACTTTTGGAAATATCAAAAAAAAAAAAAAAAAAAAAAACCAAGAGTGAAAAAAAAGATATTATAAGATTTTAAAACATTATTTTAAAAACAATTATTTTTGTAACTTTTCTTTCAACCCAGATATAGCAAAAGTTATAATTGTGAGTAAAGTACTAAATATAATTAAGGATAATAAAATAAAGTCTTCAATCAACTATTTGAATATTAAAGTTTAACTCTTGGAATGAACCAACAAAATTTGTTAACTTTGTAGTTATGAAACGTTTAAACTTGAAAACAAGATGAATAAAAAATAAGGCTCATGAGAAAGTTAATAATGAAGGGATTTTAATTTTTTTTTATATGATTTTTTTTTTGGCGCAAAAAAAAAAACATTTGTGCAAAAATCCAAAATACTAGGAGCGTTACATACACTTGTTAAAAGTTTTATTATTTTATATTGTCTCTTAAAAAAGGTTTTTAAGAGACAATGTAAAATAATAAAAAAAATTTTATTACCGTTTGTTTGGTAACGTTTAAAAGAAACGTCTGACGAGTTTTTCAGCATATTAAATTTTTTATTATATTTAAGTTAGTCGATATTTTTTGTTTGAGCTATGTTTTTCTTTAATTATCATTTTGAACACATATTTTTAAACTATCCAATTCAGTCTTCCTAATTTGAATAGTTTTAAATAATAAAATGCCAGTTATTAATAATATTTAATAAAATAATGAATAAACTAAAACTAAATTTGGTAAAAGTTAAACGAAATCT